GATCATACGGAAGATCTATCTGTGGTTGTTTGAGAAACCTCCATACTGTTTTCCATAGTGGTTGTTGCACACCATTCTAAGTAGTGTGATGAAATCGCTCATCAGCCCATTCCAGCCTGACGTGGATGTGAATCATCCCTTTGGTCCAGCTTATCCATGCTGTAGACTCTACCCTCCCACTAGTCACTTAGTAGCCCTCTCAATGATCAGATTGACTGTCACTGTAATTCAGTGCTTGTGTTCAAGTAACCTTTATTTTACTTAATAATGACCCCAACACATGAAAGTAGTGATGCTGACAATTTGGATTTGCCACAGAGAAGCTGTAAAGTGCTTCCTTTAAGTGAAAAGGTGAAAGTTCTTGACTTAATAAGGAAAGAAAAAAATTGTATGCTGAGGTTGCTAAAATGTACAGTAAGAACGAATCTTTTATCCATGAAAATTGTGGAGAAGGAAAAAGAAAATTGTGCTAGTTTTGCTGTCTTAGCTCAAACTGCAAAAGTTATGGCCACAGTGTGGGATAAATGCTCAGGTAAGATGGAAAAGGCATTAAATTGGTGGGTGGAAGACAAGAACAGAAATGTGTTCTGATTGACAGCAATCAGGTTTGGTACTATTGGAGGTTTCAAGCATTCACTGGGGATCTAGGAACATATCCCCCGTAGATAAGGGGGTTCTATTACACCACATTTTGTTTACTGGCTCTATTTTTAATCAAAGATAATTTAGTCTTTCTAAGCTGGCATCTGGGCCTTATTATCTTTTTAGGAAGTATAAGTCATTAAGAGCAGATGGTATTAAGAGTGGAGTCCAACTACTAGACCATGGAAATTCCTTCCAATTACCAAAGGCTTCTTTGTCTCCCTTTTTCAAAGCTGATGCTGAAGGATTATTCTGCCCAATAAGATACTGTTTTTGGTCTGAGAGATGTTTCAAATTTTAACCTTATTTTCATAGGGCATGAGTTCTAGGCCATGGAGACAATACCATGTTTTCTTCCTTCCTCCCAAGAGAATGATTTTCCAGTCTATAAATAAAAATAATAATCAATTCATAAATTCCAAACAATAAGGGCCAGCTCGTGGCTCACTTGGGAGAGTGTGGTGCTGATAACACCAAGGCCACGGGTTTGGATCCCTATATAGGGATGGTCGGGTAGCTCACTTGGGAGAGTGTGGCGCTGACAATACCAAGTCAAGGGTTAAGATCCCCTTATTGGTCATCTTTAAATAAATACATAAATACATACATACATACATACATACTACACAATAATAATCTTGGCCAGAAGTATAAGGCTTGTTTATTTGAAAGGGATATCTTGAGTTATTACACTATGTCTTAGGCCATTTCCTGCTGCTGTAACAGAATACCACAGACTGGGTAGTTTATTTAGCGCACAGTTCTGGTGGGTGGGAAGTCTAAGATAGGGAGGTGACATCTGGTGAGAGTCATCCCACAGCAGAAGGCGGGAGGTGGAAGCGAGCTGGTAAGACAGCAAAAGGAGGGGACAAATCCATCCTTTTTTATCACAAACCCACTCCTGTGAGAATGGCATTAGTCCATTCATGGGGGCAGAGCCCTCATAACCTAATCACCTCTTAAAGGTCCCAATACTGTCACAATGGCAACTAAATGTCAACACAAGTTTTGGAGGGGACATTCAAACCATAGCATGCTGATCTTGCAAAGCACGTATATTTTCATTCCTCAAGCCTTTGATTCTGTTGTTTCCTCAGCTTGGATTATCTTCCTTTTTACCCTCCCCTCCCCCCCCCCCCCAAATCTCACAACTTATGTAATTTTTCAATTTACCAAGCATTTTTTGACACATGATCTAGTCTACAAGCAAAAAATACACAGTAAGTATAAATATTTTATACTCATTTAATAAATATGAAAACTGTTTTGTTTTTGCTGCTGGCCAGTACATAAATATGAAAATGGAGGTTGAGAAATTATAGCAACTTATCCCAGCTCACAATTATTGCTTTAGAGCTAGAATTCAAATGTACAATTTCTAACAGGCCCAGTGTTCTTCCTATTCTTTTTTTTTTAAAGCTATGTAATCCAATTGGGCAACTGAGCAAAAATGTACATTCAAGGGTGTTCACTGAAGTGTTGTTTACTATATCCACAAATTGTAAATAATCTAAATGTTAAAAAAATAGAGGAT